CTAGAAGAGGTTATTGGGTGGGGAGCAGGGAGGGAGGTGACATATGTAATATTTTTTTAAAAAGAGAAGTGACTCGTGAGTTGGGTTGAGTCTGTTTCTTATCATTTTTGTTTCCTCCATCTGATACTTTTAATGGAGATTTGTTTGATAGCTGCAGGAGGAAGTTGGAAATTCCCGTACCACCTTCTCTGAGATCTGTCACTCCCCTCCCAGTGTCAGCATCTCCTTCATCTTCCAAGATCAGAGCATATTCCACAATTCTCCAGTGATGAAGAGGTCCCCGAGAAAGGCGGGGAGTACAACTTCATGGGGTGGGGGGGGTCGTTTTAGACTTCTCTCGCCATATCTGTGATCTAAAAACTGACAAGCACCAAAATGAATCATTGGCAGTGTGTTGTATGGAATCTCTTTTTTTATTTTTTCCATTTTGATTGTTCCTGTGAATTTCACCATCAGCTCTTCACCATCTCTTACCTGTTACATGTTAAGTTTCTTAACTTTGTCCATTATTCCCTGTCATTCCACCGTACTCAGTGAGGACAGACATTCTCCCTACAATATAAGCCACATTACATCTTTCTCTAACTCATAAATGTCCACATACTTCCTATGTGCCTTTGAAGACTCTCCATCATCAAACACCAAACTGTATGTTCAGCTTCTCCTATTGGACTTATCCTTGAACAATATGCTCCAATTATCAGCAACTGAATTGTCATCCCTGAACCACCATATACTTCACACTCATATATTTTCACATGTTGTTCCTCCAATTTGGCAAATCTTTTCCTCCTCGTGGAAGCCTGCCTAACGTGTTCACCACAGTCCAAACAGCAGTTCCTCAGACGTGTCCTTTCTTTCCGCCACTCCGACCAGAACCCCCTTCATTTCTTCCTCTTGTTTCTATAGCTCATGGTTTGTGCTTCTCCCCAGGACACATAGCCTCCGCCCCACCTGCAAAAGACGCTGCGGTGGTGGAGGGGAAACCACACAGGCCTGGCATCAGGAATTAGACCCGAGGCGTCTGCCACGGTGTGTGCATGTATTAAATCACCGCGCTGCACACGGAGGCTTCACTGGTCAACTTTTGGTTCTCTCTCGGCTATACAAGCTCCAATTTTTAAAATGCTATTAATTCCAGTGTCTCCTAACGGGGCTTCTCAGTGTTTAAAATTAGCATCCACTGGAGTTTCTCCTCTATGTTTCATTTTTTTCTGGGGGCTCAAAGTGCTGTTTCATATAGGTTTTCCATAAATATTAACCCAAAAGAGAGGGAAACATTTTTATCAGAGCACATGTTTGAACTCAACTCCTTGAGCACAGTTGTGTCATCTGTCCTCCATCTTCCAAGAAGACATACAGGTAAGTGCCCAAAAGCCATATGAAAAGGTGCTCAACATCACTAATCCTCAGAAACGCAAGTCAAAGCCACAAGGCGGCCCCTCACACCGTGTAGGATGGCTGTCACAAAAAAGGCAAATAATAACCAGTGTGGGGAGGGCGGGGAAATTGGGAAGTTTGTTCATAGGCATGCAAATGGCGCCGGTACTATGAAACACACATGGAGCATCCTTAAGAAATTAAAACTACAATATGATCCAGCAACCCCACTTCTTCATAGTTATCCAAAGAGATCATTATCAGGATCTCAAAGAGATGCTTGTGTCCCCACTGCAGCATTATGCACAATAGCCATGGTATGGAAACCATGCATACGTTCACTGACAATAAATATAGAAAATGTGGTATATATACAATCAATTATTTTTCAGTCTTAAAGAGGAAGGAAATTCTATCAGGCCATCATGGCTCAGTGGCTGAGCATCCTATGAATGCTCAGCCACTGAACTAGGAGGTTATGGTTCGATCCCCAGTCAGGGCACATCCTATGAACTAGGAGGTTATGGTTCGATCCCCAGTCAGGGCACTTGCCCGGGTTACAGGCTTCATCCCCAATGTGGGGCGTGCAGGAGGCAGCCAATCGACGAGTCTCTCTCATCATTGATGTTTCTATCTCTCCCTCTTCCTTCCTCTCTGAAATCAATAAAAATATATTTTGTGTTTTTTATTTTATTTTATTTGTTGCTTTTGTTGCTGGTGAAATGGAGGCCATCAAGAGTGCTAATGTTGCCAGGGTCCGAAAGAAGCAGTGATCACAGGCCATTGAAGAGGTAGAAGAACTGTTGTTGATTTGGATAAAGGAAAAGCAGTTCGCTGGTGACAGCATTTGGGGGGCAGTGACATGTGAAAAAGGGAAGATGCTGCTTGCTGACCTGAAAGACAGCCCTGGACAGAGCGCTGGAAGTGATCCCATTAAGGCTAGGAGGGGTGGTTTGATAATTTAAGAAAAGAAGTGTTTGTTTACAGATAACACCGTACATTAGACATGCACTGTATATAAGAAAGGTTAAAACAGGGAATCATTTTGGGGTCTGGAATAAATTAATTCAATTTACATTTTTCCTAATGGGAAAAAAAATGATTTGGTTTTTAAAAATTCCTTCTCGAACAGCCTTCCAGAATGAATTAAGTTTGAGAACCAAGGTTCCACTGTTATCAAAAAAGAAAGAAAGAAAAAGAAAAGAAAACAGGATCGCAAAGAGATATCTGCACTCACGTGTTCATCACACTTTAGTCACAACCTAAGTATCTGTCAGCAGATGAATAGAGTCGGCAGATGAATAGATTAAGATGACACATCTCTATCTCTACCTCATCCATATCTATACAACCCAGGGGTGGGGAGCTTTTTTTCTGCCAATGGCCATTCGGATATTTATAACATCATTCGAGGGCCTTACAAAATTATCAACTTAAAAATTAGCCTGCTAGCCCTAGCCAGTTTGGCTCAGTGGATTGCGCATCAGCCTGTGGACCAAAGGGTCCCGAGTCCAATTCCGGTCAAGGGCACATACCCAGGTTGGGGGCTCAATCCCCAGTGGGGGGCATGCAGGAGGCAACTGGTCAATGATTCTCTCTCATTGATGTTTCTGTCTTTCCCTCTCCCTCTCCCTTCCTCTCTGAAATCAATTTAAAAAAGATATTTTTAAAAAATTAGCCTGCTATATTTGGTCAAACATTTAATTAACTCACCCCTAGTGCCTTGGCAGGACCAGACCAAAAGTTTCCTCAGGCCTTATACAGCCCCCTGGCTGACATTCCGCACCCCTGACAATGGAGTACGATTCAGCCACGTGAAAGAAGGGAATCCTGCCACTTGTAACAACATGAATGGATCTTGAGGAAATTATGCAAAGTGAGATAAGTCAGACACAGAGACAAGAACTGTGTGATCTCACCTACATTTGAAATTTAGAGAAGGTGAACTGCAGAAACAGAGAGAGGATGGTGGTTGAGAGAGGTTGGGCAAGGGGGAAATGGGGAGATATTAAAGGTACAAAGCTGCAACTAAAAGATAAGTCTGGGAGATCGCATGTACAGTGTAGTGATTACAGACAACAGTGCTGTATCATAAACTTCAAAGTTTCTAAGAGACTAGACCTTAATTATTTGCACCATGAAAAAATTATAATTATGTGATGTGATAGAGGTGTTTGCTAATGCCATGGTGATAATCATATTACAATATACAAATGTATCAAATTAACATACTGTATACCTTAAACTTATATAGTGTTCTATATCAACTAGAGGCCCGGTGCATGAAATTCTTGCACGGGTAAGGTCCCTAGGCCTGGCCGGAGATCAATGCCAATCTGTGGGGCAACCGGCGGGGCGATTGTGGGGTCCCCACTGGCACCTGCCTTGGCCAGCCTGGCACCATCTGCTCGCTGGCCCTGCCCCCCACTGCCGCTGCCGCTGCCGCTGGTCTCCTCCCTCTGCAGGGCGACTGGAAGGGCGATCAGTGGGTCCCCCGCTGGCTTGGGGCCTGCAGGCTGGGGACAGCTCCGGGTCTGAGCACATGCCCCATGGTGGTCAGTGCATGCCATGTAAATGGTCGTTCTGGCGGTCCTTCCGCCATTCTGTTGATTTGCATAGTAGGCTTTTATTATATAGGATTATATGTCAATTTAAAAAAATAGTCTTGTTAAATAACATAATATAATTAGACTCTTAAAGGATTAGGAACATGGATGGGGAGTGGGGTGCTGTTCTTTAAGGTTAAGAAAGATGTAAAAAGAATAATGCCTGTTATCCATATCTTTTCTACAACTTCAAACGCATTTGAAAATGATAGAAGTAAAAGTCACCAATAAAGGGCATTACTTAAGCCTGGCCAATGTGGCTCAGTGGTTGGGCATCAACCTTTGAACCAGGAGGTCATAGTTCCATTCCCATTCAGGGCTCATGCCTGGGTTGTGGCTCCATCTCCCCTGGGGGCATGCAGGAGGCAGCCAATCAATGATTCTCTCTCATTATTGATGTTACTATCTCTCTCTCCCTATCCCTTTCTCTCTGAAATCAATAAAAAAAAACATATAGTCTTTAAAAGGCACTACTTAAATCAAAAGCATTTGAGTCATTATTGTGCATCCGTAATTCCAACAACCAGACTGCTTATTCTGATGCCGACTCCTTAACGCTGATGTATGGGAAGATAATCTCTATACCCAAATGAGAAAACAGGTGTAGGAAGGTTCAAGTGACCATTGTCTAGGTTGCTAAATAGATTATAGGATACACAGTTAAATTTGAACTTCAGATAAACAATGAGGTTTTTTTTAGTATAAGTATGACCCATGCAATAATGCTCCAAATATTGCATGGGGCATGCGTATACAAAAATATATTTATTTATTGGATTTTCAAATTTGCTTTGGTACCTTGTATTTTTATTTTCTAAATCTGGCAACCTACCATGGCTCCAAGGTAAGGCAAGAGAAGGAGTGGCGGGCGGGGGTCGCTGTGTTCTCGGAGGATGCTGTGTCCCGCCCAGCCTTCTTAAGCACAAACGTCCCACCCTTCCAAGGGTGAGAGCCCAGCCTCCTCCCGCTGTTCTCTTTCTCCCAAAGGGCGCAGTGCCCAGAGTCAGGACTCACCTCAGTTCTCTCGGGAGACAATTTCCCATCCTCTCAGAGTGACTCGGTTTCTCAGCTTCTGAGTTTCACTCCACTTTGGTTAGTCTTGACCAAAGCAACAAGGGTGCAACATGGGGCAGGATGTGACATCTGACCACTTGTGCTCCCACCAACCACCGGCTGCCAGGGGATGAGCAAGTTAGAGAAGGAAGGAACCGTTCTGAAGGGGAGGGGAAAAGAAAGGCATGCTTTTTTCATTGAGAGAGAGAGAGAGAGAGAGAGAGAGAGAGAGAGAGAGAGAGAGAGAGAACATCAGGCTGAAGCATGGGAGAATAAGTCTAGCATGCTAGAGTCACTTGGCTTTCAAGGCCATTCCAGGATTGCAGGATCATGTCGGGTAGGGACTTTCCTATTCCTAAGAAATCTGATGTCAAGACTCCCAATATGTTATTCTCTTCCAAGCACTCAAGAAGAAAGCCTTTTAGAAGAAAAAGAAAAAGGAAATCTGTGTTCCCCCAGCCATAAAAACCCAATCATATGTAGTGTCTTTCCTCGGAGCTCTGACACATTAATAGACAAGACGACGAAGAAAGAGATGAGTATGGCAATGGAAAGGTCTTGATGTGGTTCAAGGCAGGCCACAGAGCAATTGTTCTTCCTGTTTTTCCAAAGTGAAGGTCACAAGGGGAAGGACAGGGCCTGACAGACCCATCTGCCCATCTGGTCCCCACTTCCTCCCCGCCCCGCCCAGCAGAGCCACAGAGCACAAGCTGGCTGCAGAGATAAGGCAGGCGACTGGCTGGCTGCTGACCGAGCCGTTGCTGGTGGGGAGTGAAGTGTCTCACTCGTCATGTCTTCCACCCAGTGGCGTGCAGGCAGGTGCCTGGTTTTCTTCAGTTTTCATCCAACACAAAATTGACTTGCTGAATTCAGAAGCTCTATGTTCATCTACTCCAATAGTTTTTAACCCTCACCTGAGCACATGCTTTTATTGATTTTAGAGAGAAAGGAAGAGAAAGAAAGAGAAACTTTGATGGGAGAGAGAGCCCTGGGAGTTGCCTCCTGTAGGCACCCCGGCCGAGAATCAAAGCCACAGCGTTTTGGTGTGTGGGACAATCCTCAAACCAACTGAGCCATGCAGCCAGGGCAGTGCCAATTTTTAAAATATATTTGTCAAATAAGGATTCCAAGGTTGATGAAATTTAAGTCACTGTTACCCGTTGTCAGAGCTCAGAGGCCTCAAGTACTTAAATGTTATGTTTTCATCAGAAGCTTGAGAAAAATTATAGAGTTTCACACACACTGTTCCTGGTTTTGGGTTCACCTAATTCACCTTTCAGAACCTTTGTCCCAAAGCCCTGCTGCCCAGACTCTCACATCCACACGGGTCATCTGAGGGTCCTGTTAAATGCAGGTTCCGATTCTGTCAAACTAGGTCAACATTCTGCCTTCCAACCAGCTTGGAGCTAGACCAGGGATTCTCTAAGCATGGCCCCAGGCACCTGACAGCCGGTGAGAAATGTGAATTCTCAGCCCTCAGCTCACACCTCCTGAAGCAGAAACCCTGTGGGTTTGTTCTCCCTGTTGTCTGATAACATGTGAGAACCACGGCAATAAGCCATTTATTAATCACAAATAAACTCATCACTCCCCAAATGCTCGAGTAAATGGGTCCTTATTGGGTCCCCGTCACTCAATACGAGAGATGTGATAACACCAAGGTGTCCAGTTCCTTCAGCCTCCTTCCCTCCCCCTCTGCCCACACTGGCGTGAACCAATGTGGAAAAGAAGACTTCACTTTCACTAGTGAAGGCTCATCAGTCAGCTCCCTGGACCACCCACGCTTTATCTGTGGAATGGATCGGATAGAAGCAAAGTGGGTTTTGGTGAACTAAAATGCTTTGCAATGACAGTGCTGTGACTGCTGATGGGGCACAGCAGGGCTGCACCCTATACAACTTCAGCTGGAGTCGCGTAGCTGTGTGGGAGATGCCAGTCCTTGCAAAGGCAGCGCCCGGACGTGCCCACCGGATGCAGTCATGTCTATCCTCCACAGGGGCCCTCTCTGTGATATTCTCTGCTCCTTGCTCATAAGTACGTTCTTTCTACTTGGTCTCCTGCCTACCAACAAGTTTAGGTTTTACTCATCTGAACTTTTCCTAAAAAGGACATACAATGCTTTCTGTTTACTCTGATAGAGTATAGTCATCTCACGCTGTGCTTTCAAAGTCAAACATTTAATCATATGTGGTTTTCTTATTGTTAAATTATTATGTGTGGTACAGAAAATCAAAAAGAGTGCAAATAAGATAACAAAAAAGCATTGAACTAACCCAGAATCCTACTACCCAGGAACAATTCTTATGTGTATTTTGATGTATATTTATAATCTGCTCTGTGAACACACACACGTACCCATTGGTTTAAAGAATTCAAAAGAGGAGTGTACTCTTTGCACGTGTCTTTCTACACCATTAAATAGGTTTTCAAAGATCGTTTTATTTTTTTCCCAGCTTTTTTGAGGTATAATTTGTATACAAAAAACTGAATGTAATTAATGTATACCATTTGATAAGTTTGCACATATGTATACATTCTTGATACCATCACCACAGTTAAGGTAATAATCATATCCATCACCTTCAACAGTTTTTTTGTGTCTTTTTGGTGTGTGTGTGTGTGTGTGTGTGTGTGTGTGTGTGTGTAGAACACTTAACATGAGATTTACCCTCTAACAAAATTTTTTTTAAAATATATTTTATTGATTTTTTACAGAGAGGAAGGAATTTTTAAATGCCTTTAATAATTTGTTGGATTAGCATGTTGCCCCTTTCATTCACGATGATGATAATGATGATACTGATACTGAGGAACTTTATGATTAGCCTAACAGATTCTCATCTGGAGCTCTGGTATCTGAGCCTGTGCTCCAGAGGGAGAACATCCCCCGCCCAGGACGCAGATAAAGAATCACGGTCAACAGAGGAAGGGACGCTAGGGAACTGGCAGGACTGCAGCTGTTATCTGATTAACCTTTTCCCTGAATTCCAAACCCCTTACCTACACTTTCCTTCTCCTTATAACAAGGATTGACTTTGAACCCTGGCCAGTTTGGCTCAGTGGATAGAGCATTGGCCTATGGACTGAAGGGTCCCAGGTTTGATTCTTGTTAAGGACACATGCCCGCGTTGCGGGCTTAATCCTCAGTGTGGGGCCTGCAGGAGGTGGCTGATCAATGATTCTCTCTCATCACTGATGTTTCTATCTCCCTCTCCCTTCCTCTCTGAAATCAATAAAAAAAAAAAAAAAGGATTGACTTTGAGCCCTAGCCGGTTTGGCTCAATGGATAGAGCATCAGCCTGCAGACCGAAGGGTCCTGGGTTCCATTCGGGTCGAGGGCACATACCTAGGAGGTAGGCTCCTCCCTGGCCTGAGCCCTGGTCAGGGCACATGCAGGAGGCAACAATCAATGGGTTTCTCTCACATCAATATTTCTCAGTCTTTCCAGCTCTCTTCTACTGTCTCTAAAAATCAATGGAAAAATATCCTCTGGTGAAGGTAAAAAAAAAAAAAGGTTGATTGAGGTGAGATGTAGGGTGGTCGTTAGGGTACCGGCTGTCTTCTCAGATCACCAGCCATCTCAGGAAAGCTCCCATAAAGACTCAGGCTTTGTCTCTACTTATTGGTCTGGTAGTGACAGGCAACACGAATGCTGATGTTTCGAATTCACAATGTCTACATATATCAAAGCATCACTGCACACCTTAAATATATAGTGCTTATTTGTCATTCATTCCTCAATGAAGCTGGGGGTGGGGGAAGAATTAAAAACGTTAAGTTACTGTTTCTCAAGACATGACCATAGAGTCACGGTGTTATAGAGTGAACTGTGCCCCTCTAAATCCATGTTGCTTTTCTAACGCCCAGTACCTTATAATGTGACTGTATTGGAAATGGGGCTTTTAAAGAGGTGACTAAATTCAAATAAGGCCAGGAGGGTGGGCCCTAATCCGATCATACTGGTGTCCTTATAAAAAGATTTGGACACAGAGAGAGACACCAGGGAAAGACATAGAGGAGAGGGAATGTGAGGACAGAGAGAAGGCAGTAAGTGGCCTGCAAGCCAAGGAGAATCGTCTCAAGAGAAACCTTTCGGTGCACGGAACCACCCTCCAACCAACGGAACCAACTGAGCCACCTGGCAGGGCTAAACACTCTTTTAAAGGACATAAAAGGTCGTCTGAAGAAACACTCCAAGGCCCTCAAATTAACCTACGACGTTCAGGCAACTCCATTATAATTCCAATTGGATTGATTACAGAACTTGATAGACTTACTCTGAAATATTCTGAGTCTAGCAATAGCAAACCAGTTTATTCAAACAAAGCTTCCTACTGGGAAAAATTTAAACGCAGTTTTAAATGTCTCTTAATCTTTGTGAAAACAATTAAGACATTCTGGTCCCAAGTCAGATGGAGTCAGCACAGTCCACTACTCTTTCTCTGAATACAGTTGAAACCCTGGGACTGGACCCACAGTTTGGCTTTCTGGGGGCTCTGAAAAATAAGTAGTATCAAATAGATTGGAGAAGAAACCAGAACTCACGGCACACATGATCAGGCGGTGGGCTTCTGGGGGCGTGGCCCCCCTTATCTCCTGGTCTGAATTCAAAGGCAGCACAAATCCTGGAATTGCATGCGGAGTGCCAACAAAAATTGCTCCAAGACAAGCCCTCCTTTTCTTGCCTGAGAAGCAGAAAGAGAACCCCTAAAGGGCAGAGAGTGGAAAATGCCCCTGCGCTGGCTGGGTGGTTTCCCTCCCCTGGCGGGAAGCTGCAGCCTCAGCTTTTCTATTCTCTCTCTTTTCCCACCGCTTAGCCACAGAAGGTGTGCAGAGAGAGGAAACTGCAGCTCTGGCCTTCCCGGGGCTTCTGGGAGCAGGGAGTGTGGAGAAGACTGTGAAGAGAGGGCCGCTTAGAAGGCATCACACGTGTGTATGAACTCCTGCTCGTGCTCACCCTGCGCATGCACCGGCCTGACCCCAAGCAGGGCACCAAAGGCTCTGAGACTGAATGACATTTATCCAAGAACCCAGATCAGCTGTGAAAACTGAACCAACGCCGGAACCAGAACCCACAGAGGGCAGGTTGGAACGTGTAACTTAAACTCACCCCAATTAACTGCCGCTGAGAAAAAAATTTCCACAAGATTTAAACAGCACCCAGAGTCTCATGATAGATTATATTTCAAAGGTCCAGGATAAGACCCAAAATTGTTTGATATGCAAAGAACCAGGAAATTGTGATCTATTTGCAAAAGAAAAGACAGTTAACACACCAACTTCATGATGACCCAGATGTTGGAATTATTCTATTTTAAAGCAGTTGCTATAACCATGCTCCAAGAAGTAAGGTCAAGCATTCTTGAAACAAACAGAAGATAGGATATCTGACAGATAAAAAGAAGCTTAAAAAAAAAAACCAAATGAAAATATTATAACTGAAAAGTATGATCACCGAAATAAATGTACTGGGTGAGCTCATGAATAGACTGTAGATGAAAGTAGAAAGAGTCGGTAACCTTCACAGCTAGACCAGCTGATGTTATCCAATCTGAAGAGCAGGCGCTTTAAAAGCTGATACAAAACGAACAGCCTCAGGGACCTG